CTAGTATCCACAGAATAGGTCATCCTTTCTCTTTGGTTATTAAAGTCCTCTTCTGCTGAGGACCCTTTGGGGAGGATTCACATGGGACATATTTATCTTCACATCTTCTGCCCCCTCAGAGAGGTCTCTTCTGGAAACACCCTCACAGACACATCACAGACACGCCCAGAAGTAATGCTTTACCAGTTCTCTAGGTATTCCTAAATCTAGTCAAGCTGACATCTAAAATTAACCATCACAATATGGATGCCTCTGATTAAATGTTCGAGTCAATCAGAATCTTGTTGGATTCTGAAAATCTGTTTTAATTTACTTTTCTGAATCTACATTTCAGATGGTGTTGTACCTGAAAATCTACATTTTAAGAACCTATTTAGGGCTGGGCATGGTGGCTCATCCCTGTAATCCCAGCATTTTGGGAGGCCAAAGTGGGAGGCTTACTTGAGCCCAGGAGTTGGAGACCAGCCTGGGCAACATAGGAAGACCCTGTCTCTACAAATAATTTTAAAAAAATCGCTGGATATGGTGGTGGACTCCTGTGGTCTCAGCTACTTGGAAGGCTGAGGTGGCAAGATCATTTGAGCCTGGAAGGTCGAAGCTGCAGTGAGCGGTGAAAGCTTGAAAATAACTGTCAAAGCCCAAAGCCCTGATCTTGTTATTTTATAATCAGCATCAGAGTCAACTGTGAAGTTTTCTTCACTGTGGATGCCTATGTGTCCATCTGGGAGTGAGGAGTTCTGCCTCCAAAAACAATGATTCCAGCTTTGGATATAAGATCCAGTTGTTTATGACCCCTACATTCTTGCTTTTGCTCTTTAGACAACTTACTGGCCATTAGCATTATTTTCTGCACTAGGAGCATGGGGTCAGCAAACTGCTACCTGAGATCAAATTAAACCCCTGCCTGCTTTTGTAAATATAACTTTACTGGGACACAGCCACACTCCTCAGTTTACAGCTCCTCTCTGGTTGCTTTAGTGTTGCAACAGGAGAAGTGATTAGTTGTGACAGAGCCTATGGCCTACAGAACCTGAAGAAGTTATCTGGCCCTTTACAGAAAAAAAGTTTGCTGCCTATTGCACTAGAACATTGAAAGGGAAAAAGTAGAGATTGTTTTACATTTTACCATTAAGGCTTGTCTGGTAAAAGGCTGATATACAACCACAAACAATAGCCAGTAAAATTAAGTGGGTTTAAAAATTATTTTTATAGGCCGGGCGCGGTGGCTCAAGCCTGTAATCCCAGCACTTTGGGAGGCCGAGGCAGGTGGATCACAAGGTCAAGAGATCGAGACCATCCTGGTCAACGTGGTGAAACCCCGTCTCTACTAAAAATACAAAAAAAATAGCTGGGCATGGTGGTGCGTGCCTGTAATCCCAGCTACTCAGGAGGCTGAGGCAGGAGAATTGCCTGAACCCAGGAGGCGGAGGTTGCGGTGAGCCGAGATCGCGCCATTGCACTCCAGCCTGGGTAACAAGAGCGAAACTCCATCTCAAAAAAAAAAAAAAAAAAAAAAAAAATTTTTATTTTTGAGACAGAGTCTCTCTCTTGCCAGGCTGGCATGATCTTGGCTCACTGCAACTTCTGCCTCCTGAGTTTAAGCAATTCTCCTGCCTCAGTCTCCCAAGTAGCTGGGACTACAGGCACATGCCACCACACCCAGCTAATTTTTGTATTTTTAGTAGAGACGGAGTTTCACCATGTTGGCCAGGATGGTCTCGATCTCTTGACCTCCTGATCTCGGCCTCCCAAAGTGCTGGGATTGCAGGTGTGAGTCACCATGCTTGGCCATATTTTTATTTATTTATTTATTTATTGAGACGGAGTTTTGCTCTCGTTGCCCAGGCTGGAGTGCAATGGCGCGATCTCGGCTCACGGCAACCTCCGCCTCCTGGGTTCAGGCAATTCTCCTGCCTCAGCCTCCTGAGTAGCTGGGATTACAGGCGTGCGCCACCATGCCCAGCTAATTTTTAGTATTTTTAGTAGAGACAGGGTTTCACCACGTTGACCAGGATGGTCTCGATCTCTTGACCTCGTGATCCACCCGCCTCGGCCTCCCAAAGTGCTGGGATTACAGGCTTGAGCCACCGCGCCCGGCCCATATTTTTATTTTTAAGGGGCACAGTAAGATATTCTATTTGCCTGAAACTACCTATCTATGCAGACTATTGGGGAACCTAAAATTTATACTATGTGGATTCCAAATATTTGCATCCAGATCATGTGGGATAATTATTTAAAATGCAGATTCCTGCTGGGCACAGTGGCTCATGCCTGTAATCCCAGCATTTTAGGAGACTGAAGTGGGAGGATGACTTGAGTCCAGGAGTTCAAGACCAGACTGTACAATGTAGTGAGACCCTGTCTCTGCAAAAAATTTAAAAATTAACCAGGTATGGCTGGGTGTGGTGGCTCAGGCCTGTAATCCCAGCACTTTGGGAGGCTAAGGTGGGTGGATCACGAGGTCAGGAGTTTGAGACCAGTCTGGCCAGCATAGTGAAACCCTATCTCTACTAAAAATATAAAAATTAGCCAGGCATGGTGGGTGCTTGTAGTCCCAACTATTTGGGAGGCTAAGGCAGGAGAATCACTTGAACCTGGGAGGCAGAGGTTACCCAGGCTGGAGAGCAGTGGCGCAATCTTGGCTCATTGGAACTTCTGTCTCCAAGCAATTCTGCCACAGCCTCCCAAGTAGCTGGGATTGCAGTTGCCCACCACCACGCCCAGCTAGCTTTTGTATTTTTAGTAGAGATGGGGTTTCCCTATGTTGGCCGGGCTAGTCTTAGACTTCTGACCTCAAGTGATCCATCTGCGTTGGCCTCCCAAAGTGCTGGGATTACAGGTGTGAGCCACTGTGCCTGGCCTGAAACTATTTTCATCATAATACTAAGGTATGATTTGCCTTTTTTTCGGGGTTGACATTGGACTATTCACATAAAAGCAATGCTAAGAGTGCTGGCATCCTAACATGAATTAAAGCAGTAGAAATAAATTATACTGTCAGTCACTGTATTCTTTTTTTTTTTTTTTTTTTTTTTGAGACAGGGTTTCGTTCTTGTTACCCAGGCTGGAGTGCAATGGCACGATCTCAGCTCACCGCAACCTCCGCCCCCTGGGTTCAAGCAATTCTCCTGCCTCAGCCTCCCTAGTAGCTGGGACTACAGGCGTGCGCCACCATGCCCAGCTAATTTTTGTATTTTTAGTAGAGACGGGGTTTCACCATGTTGACCCGGATGGTCTCGATCTCTTGACCTCGTGATCCACCCGCCTCGGCCTCCCAAAGTGCTGGGATTACAGGCTTGAGCCACCGCGCCCGGCCAGTCACTGTATTCTTGACTGCCATGCATTAATGATAATAGTGCCAGTTTTGCTTAATAGTCTTCATATTTTTTCAGTAAAAATTATTACTTTTGTTAACTCTTTATTTTTTTTTTTAAGAGACGGGGTCTTGCTATGTTGCCCAGGGTAGAGTGCAGTGGCTATTCACAGGAGTGATCCCACTACTGATCAGCACGGGAGTTTTGACCTGCTCCATTTCTGACCTGGGCCGGTTCACCCCTCCTTAGGCAACCTGGTGGTCCCCTGCTCCTGATGGGTCACCATATTGATGCCGAACTTAGTGCGGACACCCAATCAGTATAGCGCACTACAGCCCAGAACTCCTGGGCTCAAGCGATCCTCCAACTTCAGCCTCCTGAGTAGCTGGGACTACAGGCACGCACCACAGCGCCCGGCTTGTTAACTCTTAACTCATTAGTTTACATCTTTTTCATATTCTATGTGACAAACTGGTTAGTATGAATAAAACTTGTTTTTCAGACAGGGTCTGGCTCTGTTGCCCAGCCTGGAGTACAGTGACGTTGATTACAGCTCACTGCAACCTCCCCTTCTGGGCTCAAGCTCTTCTCCCATCCTGAGTAGTTGGGACTACAAGTCTGTACCACCATGCTCAGCTAATGTTTTCATTTGTTTGTTTTTAGAGACGGGTGAGATGGGTGTCATCATATTGCTCAGACTGGTCTCAAACTTCTGGACTTAGCAATCTGCCCAACTCAGCTTCCCAAAGTGCTGAATTACAGGCATAAGCCACTGTGGCCCATAAAACCATTTTATTAAATACCAAAACTCCAGGCCGGGCGCGGTGGCTCAAGCCTGTAATCCCAGCACTTTGGGAGGCCAAGGCGGGTGGATCACGAGGTCGAGAGATCAAGACCATCCTGGTCAACATGGTGAAACCCCGTCTCTACTAAAAATACAAAAAGTTAGCTGGGCATGGTGGTGCATGCCTGTAATCCCAGCTACTCAGGAGGCTGAGGCAGGACAATTGCCTGAACCCAGGAGGTGGAGGTTGTGGTGAGCCAAGATTGCGCCATTGCACTCCAGCCTGGGTAACAAGAGCGAAACTCCGTCTCAAAAAAAAAAAAAAAAAAACCAAAACTCCATTTATACCTATAGATATTTTATTCACAACTGGCCACAGCTGTGCTTCTTGGCCATGGTAGGGGAGGAGTGTGTAGGTGCCATCGTTTGCAAGTTGGATATGCACAAAAAGATGTTCCGCAGAGGTTATATAGCCATGTTCGCTGTGGATTCCAAATACAGGAGAAATGGCATTCGTACTAACTTGGTTAAGAAAGCTATATATGCCATGGTTGAGGGAGACTGTGATGCGGTTGTTCTGGAAACTGAAATAAGAAGTCTGCTTTGAAACTTTATGAGAATCTTGGTTTTGTTCGAGATAAGAGGCTGTTCAGATACTATTTAAATGGAGTTGATGCACTGTGACTTAAACTGTGGCTGCGTTGAGAAACTGACATCAAGGAACAACTTTCAACCACACAGAGTCGACCTTTGCATGCAATGCAATTTGACAGAATTGCTTTGCAGGTGGATTTAGTAATTTCCATACAGCTCTTACCATACAGGTAATTTATTTATTTATTTATTATTTATTTATTTATTTATTTTTTTGGCAATACAAAATCCCTGACCCACAGTGGTCACTCACAGCTGACATCACCCTCCTGGCCAAGGATCTTCCTAAAGCCACCATGTGAGGATTCGGACGAGAGTCTGAGCTGTATAGCAGACCATGTCCTGCTGTTCTAGGGTCATGACTGTGTGTACTCTGAAGTTGCCACTCTCACAGGGGTCAGTGATACCCACTGAACCTGGCAGGAACAGTCCCGCAGCCAGAATCTGTAAGCAGTGCCTGTATGCAACGTTTAGGGCCAAAGGCTGTCTGGTGGGGTTGTTCATTGCAGCATAATGAACTAGTAGGTCAAGGATCCAGGGTGTTAGGGGCTTCAAAGCCAGGAAAACGAATCCTCAAGTCTTTCAGTAGTCTGATGAGAACTTTAACTGTGGACTGAGAAGCATTTTCCTCAAACCAGCGGGCATGTCGGATGGCTGCTAAGGCACTCTGCAATACCTTGATATCCAAATGGAGTTCTGGTCCAGTTTTTGAAGATTGGGTGGCACTGTTGTAATGAGAATCTTCACTGTAGCATCAGAAGAACTGATTTCAAAGCCAGTTTCATTGGTTAGCATGGTTAAAACTTCAGAAGGATCCTGTGCTCTTAGGCTTTCCAGGACTTTGTTCCCCAGGGCAGCAACAGCTTCCAATGTTGGCAGAATCTTGAGTATCACCACCAGGTCAGCCACATTGTGTCCTGGAAGGGCAGCTCGATTTAGGTCAGGTCCTCCTTGATTCTAGAAGCAAGTGGTAGTCAACCACCCCCAATTCTGCCACTCTCTTGCCCCCATCATTTGGCTGTGATGATGCTTGGTGTCTCCCTGGTTTTCTGTCGCTGGCACAGGAGGGTACAGTTGGGAGAGTGTGCCGTTCTGGAGCTCAGGCCTCCTGCCATTATTCACATGCTTCAGAGCAGGTCTTTATGCCCTTGAATCAACATGGGGATCTGCTTGGCACCCAGAGCTCTGGTCATGGTGTCCAACCACAACCCACCCCACCCCTGTGCCCTTCTCCATCTTACCCACCCACAACCACAGGGTGCCCACTAGTGTCAGGCCCAAGGTGTCAGCCTTCTTTCCTGCCTTACCTAGTCTACCTAGATATTTATTTCCTCCTCTTTGTATCTTTAGAGTAGATAAGCCATGCTGGGGTCCGTGCTCCAAGCAGCCTGCCTCAGCTCAGAGAAGTGGTCAGAGAGCAGAGCACAGTACCTGGTATGTGAGGACATTTGGTTTTCTTGCAGATCATTTAATGAATCCTCAAGGACTAGTGAAATAAATCCTAGACTGCTGAAGAATAAAAAAAAATGGTGGCCTCTTGAAGAAAACAAACTTGAGTGATTATTTGAATTGGAAGCTGCCAACAGATGCTCTTTTTTCATACATCTTTTTTTTTTTTTTTTTTTTTTTGAGACAGAGTCTCACTGTTGCCCAGGCTGGAGTGCAGTGGTGCGACCTCGGCTCACTGCAACCTCTGCCTCCTGGGTTCAAGTGATTCTCCTGCCTCAGCCTCCTGAGTAGCTGGGATTACAGGCACGTGCCACCACGCTTGTCTAATTTTTGTATTTTTAGTAGAGACAGAGTTTCACCATGTTGGTCAGGCTGGTCTCGAACTTGTGATTCGCCTGCCTCGGCCTCCTAAAGTGCTAGAATTACAGGCATGAGCCACTGCACCCAGCCATCATTTTTAGTAGAGATGGGGTTTCAACATGTTGGTCAGGCTGGTCTTGAACTCGTGATCCACCCACCTTGGCCTCCTAAAGCGCTGGGATTACAGACGTGAGCCAGTGCGCCCAGCCATCATTTTTATTTGAAAGTACAATGAGCCGGGCGCGGTGGCTCAAGCCTGTAATCCCAGCACTTTGGGAGGCTGAGGCGGGTGGATCACGAGGTCGAGAGATCGAGACCATCCTGGTCAACATGGTGAAACCCCGTCTCTACTAAAGATACAAAAAATTAGCTGGGCATGGTGGCACGTGCCTGTAATCCCAGCTACTCAGGAGGCTGAGGCAGGAGAATTGCCTGAGCCCAGGAGGCGGAGGTTGCGGTGAGCCGAGATCGCGCCATTGCACTCCAGCCTGGGTAACAAGAGCGAAACTCCGTCTCAAAAAAAAAAAAAAAAAAAAAAAAAAAAGAAAGTACAATGGACAAACTATGGCTATTTGTATGTAAGTATCTGGCAGAACTTTACTTGAAAACAAAGGAGGCTTGTCACTTCAAGGAAGACAATTTATCCTTTGTTGCCAATGATACAATTTGATCTTTTAAGAAAAAAGCAGAATATTGGAAAACTTGTACCTGCTACTCTGAGCTTGACAGCTTCCCAATATTAAAGATTTTTTTCTGATGAGATCGGTAATTTAAAAAAAAAAATTGTATAAGGCTGGGCGTGGTGGCTCACACCTGTAATCCAAGCACATTGGGAGGCCGAGGTGGGCAGATGATGAGGTCAGGAGATCAAGACCAGCCTGGTCAACATGGTGAAACCCCAATCTCTACTAAAAATACAAAAATCAGCTGGGCATGGTCATGTGTACCTGTAATCCCAGCTACTCGGGAAGCTGAGGCAGGAGAATCGCTTCAACCCGGGAGGTGGAGGTTGCAGTGGAGATCGTGCCACTACACTCCAGTCTGGGCGACAGAGCAAGACTCTTGTCTAAAAAAAAAAAAAAAAAAAAAAAAGGGGAATAAAATATATTAACATTTGGAAGATCTGCATAGCTCAGTGAACTGATATTTTCCCAAATGACCAATATAAATCACACATGGGTAAAAGATCCATTCAAAGTGCAAGATAAGCTGCTCTGCCTATGGCATAGCCATTCTTTTTTTTTTTTTTTTTTTGAGACGGAGTTTCGCTCTTGTTACCCAGGCTGGAGTGCAATGGCGCGATCTCGGCTCACCACAACCTCCGCCTCCTGGGTTCAGGCAATTCTCCTGCCTCAGCCTCCTGAGTAGCTGGGATTACAGGCACATGCCACCATGCCCAGCTAATTTTTTGTATTTTTAGTAGAGACGGGGTTTCACCATGTTGACCAGGATGGTCTCGATCTCTTAACCTCATGATCCGCCCGCCTCGGCCTCCCAAAGTGCTGGGATTACAGGCTTGAGCCACCGCACCCGGCCCGGCATAGCCATTCTTTTAGTCTTTTACTTTCTTAATAAAGTTGCTTTCACTTTACTCAAAACAACAACAATAAAACAAAGTGCAAGACAGACCAATGGATTTTAATGGTATCAGAATATGAAAAGTTTACGTTTTCAGACTGCACATTGCAATCCACTTTTTTTGAGACAGCCCCCCAAATTGCCTCTATACCCCCAAAGCTGGTATAGAGGCTACAGCAGGATTTGAAGATAGAGAACCTAAATTCAAGTTCCAGTTCTGTCACTTACCTGACTGATTTTAGGCCAGTTATTTAGGTGTAGGGTCTGAAGTCACACTGTGTGGGTTCATGATTTTAGCTCCACCCCTTGGTAAACAGGCCTGCCTGGGTCTCCCGAAGTGCTGACATTACAGGCCTTAGCCACCGCACTGGCCTTGCAGAAGCTATTTTACATGTAATAAATTTAAAGGGAAAGTATAAGTTAACTTGGAGATATTTGCGTGTGGCCGTTAAATTGTAAAGAGAATAAATTTGTTTTTTCTGTTTTTGAAGAAAAAACTGAAACACCACGCCCAGCTAATTTTTATTTTTTATTTTTGAGACAGAGTTTCGCTCTTGTTACCCAGGCTGGAGTGCAATGGCACGATCTCGGCTCACTGCAACCTCCGCCTCCTGGGTTCAGGCAATTCTCCTGCCCCAGCCTCCTGAGTAGCTGGGATTACAGGCACGCGCCACCATGCCCAGCTAATTTTTTGTATTTTTAGTAGAGACGGGGTTTCACCATGTTGATCAGGATGGTCTTGATCTCTTGACCTCGTGATCCACCCGCCTCGGCCTCCCAAAGTGCTGGGATTACAGGCGTGAGCCACTGCGCCCAGCTAATTTTTATTTTTTCGTAGAGATGGGGTTTCACCATATTGGCCAGGCTGGTCTGGAACTCCTGACCTCATGATCCGCCCGCCTTGGCCTCCCAAAGTGCTGGGATTATAATCCTATAGGCATGAGTCACCGCATCAGGCTCCTTTTGAGATGAAGTCTCTCTCTCTCTCTCTCTCTCTCTCACCCAGGCTGGAGTGCAATGGCCATGATCTTGGCTTACTGCAATCTCTGTCTTCCGGGTTCAAGCGATTCTCCCACCTCAGCCTCCCGAGGAGCTGGAATTACAGGTGCGCGCCACCACAACCGGCTAATTTTTGTATTTTTAGAAGAGATGGCGTTTTAGTAGAGATGTTGGCCAGGCTCCTCTTGAACTCCTGGCCTCAAGTGATCCACGCACTCTGACCTCCCAAGGTGTTGGGATTACAGGCATGAGCCACTGCACCCGGCCCCTTTCAACTTTTCACCTGTTAAGTCTTCCTGTTTGGACAATACCTCGCCTCCCAACTTCCTGGCATCTTTTAAATCCTGTTAAGGTCGCCTCTACATGAAAAAAAGAAAGAGGGCCGGGCGCGGTGGCTCAAGCCTGTAATCCCAGCACTTTGGGAGGCCGAGACGGGTGGATCACGAGGTCAAGAGATCGAGACCATCCTGGTCAACATGGTGAAACCCCGTCTCTACTAAAAATACAAAAAATTAGCTGGGCATGGTGGTGCGTGCCTGTAATCCCAGCTACTCAGGAGGCTGAGGCAGGAGAATTGCCTGAACCCAGGAGGCGGAGGCTGCAGTGAGCCGAGATCGCGCCATTGCACTTCAGCCTGGGTGAAAAGCGCGAAACTCCGTCTCAAAAAAAAAAAAAGAAAAAGAAAAAGAAAAAAATTATTAATTTTGTTTGGAGACGAGTGTTGAAGTGTCACCCAGGCTGGAGTGCAGTGGTGCCACCTGGGCTCATGCAGCCTCCACCAACCTGCTCGAGCGATCCTCCGGCCTCAGCCTCCTAAGTAGCTTAGAGCAAGGAGCTGACACCACGCCCAGTACCTCTACATTTTTTAGGGATACCTTTTTGGTAACCTTTAAATCAGGCGTCCCCAAACTACGGCCCGCGCGCCGCATGCGGCCCCCCGAGGCCATTTATCCGGGCCCCCGCCGCACTTCAGGAAGGGGCACCTCTTTCACTGGTGGTCAGTGAGAGGAGCACAGCATGCGGCGGCCCTCCCACGGTCTGAGGGACAGTGAACTGGCCCCCTGTGTAAAATGTTTGGGGACGCCTGCTCTAAATCATAATAGATGCACAGAGGAGGGACCAAAGACTTTTTTCCTGGCAAATGCCAGTGGCACCTGTTCCTCAGCACCCAGAAATGGAGGCCGGGAGCGGGGCGGCTGCTCCTGGGGCCGCGGCGTCCCCGCGTCGCCCCTGGCGCACTAGTAGGGTCCGCAGCGTATCCCGAGGATCAGGTCGACGTTCCCGCCCCATACGTGACCGGCTGCTTCCAAGCCCCTTCCGCCGCGGACACTGGAAACTGATCTCGAAGCCCCTTCCACTGCGGACACTCAAAACTCTCCCTCGCGGTTAGAACTCAGCCACCTCCTCTAAATGAGGGCCCACCGCCTCCCGTCCGGTACTGGGCCTCCCTGCCCGCAGGAGGAGCCACGTCTCGCGCGACTCCACTCCACCTCTCGCGACACTTGCCGCCAGTGCCCTGAGGCCCTGCGCACCCGACCCGCGCTCGCGCGCCACGCTCCCAGC